GTCAACTAGAAGGTACAGGATACCATGTAGGATTACAAATGATCAAAGTTTGTTTTGAATTAAAATAGTTACAAAGAAAATTCACCTTGGTCTGCACCATGTCTTGTCTGTTTTGTCTCATTGTTTTAACAAAGTTGAAAACATCAATCGTTTTGTAATCTCTCGCTTGTCTTATCATGGCGTCGATGGCGAGAAAAGCTCCTGTTCTTCCAACACCAGCACTGGAATGAGCAACCACAAATTAATCTTAAGAATAAGACGTGACATTTCAACAGCCTCTTCTCATTCGGTGTATTTTGTCCATTTTTTTATTCGGCTAATTCAAGATTTTGCATTATTTGAAATTCTGTAGTACCGAATGCTTTAGCAATGTGTCAAACAAAAGGTGAGTTTACGTATTACCATTATAAAACGTTTTWAAAAAATTGACCGTGGAAAGTTTAATAATAAACTCTTTATTTACTGAGGGTAGCACTAAATAGCAATATGCTAACAACTCTGTGGCCCTCTATTATATAAACTATGAAGATATGTGTATAAAAACTATAGAGTTTTAGTTTTTTATGAGGCCTTCATTATAGCTGACGTGGTGTTACCACGGTAACATTATATGTGATTAGCTCCATTAATATTGAATGCTAAGCTTATGAACTTTAATACGGTTGGCGTTTTGGGTATTAATGTGTGAGCATGCATTACCCATAGATTACCATCTTAAACAATACAATGATGTTGTAAAACCTCGAGTTTTAAAGTGCTTATAAGCCTTTACACAATATTTTCAAAATTGATTCTTTAAATAGTGAATAGTTGATTGTGAAAATAATTCGTCATTTGAATGTCGGGTCTTTGAGATACGAAAGTTTATATTTCCAATATGTTAATGACTATGACGTAACATAAGGGATTTGAGTTATTTTGTGGCAACTTTTAATATTGAACGCTGGACATTTTTTGAAAACAAATTTGTAAGAACCTTTACGTGAGTCACGAGTAAGAGGGTGATGCTTTTAAAATACTGTAATCCAGAACGAGTGCAGTGTTGTATATTAAATGATCCCTTATGTTACGTCACAGTCATTAACATATTGGGAATATAAACCTTCGTATTTCAAAGACCCAACATTCAAATGACGAATTATTTTCACAATCAACTATTCACTATCTAAAGAATCAATTCTGAAAATATTGTGTAAAGGCTTATAAGCACTTTAATGTTATCTATGAATAGCTTACGCACAAATGAGAATGAGAGAAAGAAAAATATCATGACATATATTTAGCATTGAATTCAAGTCTTTCACAACAAAAAAAATTTACGTACCTGCAGTGAACAACCCAAGGAGACCCCATGGCTGTGTCTGACTCAAGACGTTTTCTGAAGGCCAATAATTGTGTTGCATGTTGAGGAACACCTTTATCAGGCCAGGCAGTGAAATGATATTGGAAGACATAGCGCTGTTCTTTTGTCTTCATCTATGGAAAATTGATTTCGTTACAAAACAGAAAAAGGAAAATAATTGTCGCTTTGCAAGACATAATCACTGAACTGACTTTTGAAACGATTTGTTAATTACCAAGTTGATATAGCAGTGCAGTGACTGTTTAATGCAAAGCATATTACGTTAGTTACGTTTGCGATCCTGCGCTGAGAGCCTCCCCTGAGGGACCTTAAGTGATTTGTTAYTGAGGTTGTATATCAACACGTAAATGTTTAATGCCATAATAGTCCATTCTTGGAGTGCATGTGACGTCATAACCGTTATCTTGGTTGATTTTTATTTGGCAAAAGATTTGGTCTTGGTGTCCAGGTGAGTAGACCACGTTCCCCGAAAGGAATTATGGGTCGACTTTTTTTGGTCGAATTTTTCTAAAGGTGACTAAGTACAATGTAGATTTCTCTTATCAATTGAAATTGAATTCCGCCACCAGTTTGACTAATGTTTACGATAAATATAGAAAATGAAGAATTCGTATTTCATGGGTTCTTGTCAGAATCATGGGAAATCAAAATACGATGTTGAATCCTCAATTCTCAATTCTAAAAATCAACTCAGCTGGGTCTTTTGTTATGTCCACCAACAAGGCGTCCACGTATTTTGGCCTTTTATTCTCAATTCTCTGGGGAAATGAAATGACACGCCAATAATTGTAGTCATTAATAAGAAAGTCATTTGCAATAAGATACCGGATTTGGCTACCTTAGATACAACAAAAGTACGAATCGAGTAGTCAGCAAATACTTCAGTCTTGTGTAGATGTACAGATAGATCTTGGTAATTCTTACTCTTTTCTGGCCAATACTTTTCGCATTTTATCTGTAAGAAAAGAAGGTCAGTTTATTTTGCTCATGCTTTTGCTATTGCAACCCGTCCCCGTCCCCGTCCCCGTCCCCGTCCCCGTCCCCGTCCCCGTCAAATAATAACTTTAGGAATATAAATCTCATACACAAAACATTATTTTCACCTTATTTTGTTCTTTGATGCCTGTTAACATGACAATCACCGACATTTTTTCTTGCCAAATCATTCGCCAAAAATCATTAACAGTTTGAGGGAGAGGACCTAGTAGAACAAAAAACACACAAAGAAATTGATAAACATCATTCGGAGAGATCATTGGGGATAAACCGAGAAATTAAATAGTTCAAAATGTTTTTACAGAGATTGCCTACCTTGAGTTGCAATGTAGGATATCTGCTTACAGTCATATCCCTAAATGGCAAAGTGTAGTGAAGAATTATATTTATAGTATTGCAATTTTTTGTGTGAAAGTAGTTACATACACTACGTTACATAGTCTACTACGCTAGACAGACCCGGTTAGTGGGGTTAAGAAGGGGCTGCCGAGATAACAATATACCAGGAATTTTTTTCCCTCTACGAAACTTGCATACCCAGAATTTCAGGAACATTGAGATGCCGTAAATTTCAAAAAGAAGATGCTTTATGCTCATAAATCAGATATGTTGTCCGAGATTTCGAAACCCGGGGTTAGAAAAGCCCTGATACCGATATATCCGAATATCCTGGCCGGGTCTGTCTAGGGAATTCTTACACCAACACAATTCCCGAATATTAAGCATTGTATTCCAACTAAGGAGATATCTTTCTGTGATCATACCCGTATGTAGCTTGCATTGATGTAATCTGAATCTTCGTCTCCCTCCAGCTTTTCCAGAACGACTCTCGAGTTATCGTCTGAAAAGAAAGCAGCATGTTCTCAAATACAGCACTGCATCAGCATCGCTGTTAAAGCTCAAAAACATGAGATATAGACACATTACATGTGACGTCAAAGCAGCTCAATTTGGAGACCAAAACAAAAGAATTTCAATCTCCTGAGAATTGGAAACCTGTTGTTATCTCCTCCACGTTGAGCTGCATTCCGACGTGCTGCAAAGGGTGTATTGCGATACTTACATGGAATGACATTGCCATAGCGATTTTTAGATTTGTTGATCGGTTTCATGGCAACAGTGCAAGGGTACAGGCGACCATGTGATAATATCTAATATAGATAAACCATGAAGAATATTATTATCACATATTSTTGGGGAGGTTGCAACCCCATGACCCAAAATCCCTTGAGATAATATTGACAATGAAACAACCGCCATGCTGGTCGATCTAATCAGAGAAACTAGTGAGGAATGCTTTTTTGCCGCCAACCAACATGCCAGCTATGACGTACCATGGCACCCCAAGAATTGAAAAAAAGTTTTTTGCAAGTATTTTTGCATGTTGCATGT